ATGAATTAATTGAGCTGGTAATCTTTGATTTATCGTTTCTACTCTTTGCTTCCTTCTGCCACATCATAAAACCTTATCTCAACTTAGCATTGTCCTTTAACCTTTCCTGCAGGTTTTCAAAACAAGCTTCATCAAAAGTACCTAATAGGGAAATTGACACTGCGTTTTCTTTTGCAATTTTATGCCAATTTGGTATGTTCTTAATACTATTGGAGACCGATTTTCTAACATTACCCTAACTGGAGTTGGTTTTGGTAATTGTTCTATTTTCTTTAGAGCGTTTTGATCTTGTCCTATCCTATCTGTTTCATTGCTGAAGAGGGTTAAGGAATACTTTGACCAACTGATTTACCTGCCTAGCAAATCTGCCAAAGTCACCCTTTCTCATTGAAACATTGCTGTCCGAGCCACACTTTACATTCAGAACATATAGGATTATACTGTAATGGCTGTCATCTTGCTTGCAGCCTGTTAGCATCTTGAGCTCAGGCAGACTCCTTACACAGAGCCTCCCTACTACTGCAATAGGGGGTCAGCCATCTCCACTTGGGTTGGTATATCCTTGTCCCAGCCACAAACATTCACATATACCTCAGTTTCCCCTACTGTTGGTGTGGCAACCTAGAATTTATTTATTTATTTATTTATTTATTTATTTATTTATTTATTTATTTATGTTTTAAATTTGTCACCGCCCATCTATGGGATAAGGGAACAAATATGGATACACTTATCTGTATCTGGTCAACTAGTCTGTGCCTGTGGGACTTCTGTTGCAGAGGCCTTCTTCCCTTTATCATACTTGAGTGGGTTATTTCAGATCTGAAAGGGTTGAACACCCCTGTAGAGCAGACAGTGTTGCAAAAAAGCAGCCAACGTCACCAATGTCTAGTTATTCATGAAGGCTCACCAACTTTTCACATCCTTCAAACTATACCATTAAAATTGTGGGGGCAATCAACAGCTGGCATGCCACCCTTGAGGAGGGTGTCCCAAAGTATATTTTATCGAATCAACAGACATAGGACATTTCCTTTTGATAGCGCATTCTGGTACTCCAAAGAAGGCATGATCCTGAATTTTATTCATACCATTGGTCATTAAATTAAAAAAATCAGAACAACTTATCTCTAGGTATTATCGTTGGTTAGTAACTATAAAAATGCAAGACATTTGAGATTTTCCTGTTTTGCTTGTCCTTGCATATTTCTCATTTCCTGGTTTCCTTGACCTTTCATATGCATAGGCTTTTTATATGCTGACATAGGCTTCTTATTTGCTGAGAAATGTATAAACGTATATTTATATCTGCAGACTAAGCACTATGTTGCCATTCATGAACCTGTGGAAACATAAAAATAAAAGAAGCAGTCTTTCATGATTCCATGTGTGCTGGCAGTAACTGGCACACACTAGTAGTAACAGTTACACAGTAAAGCAACAGATAAGGAAGGATGATTGAGGAGTCTAAGTCTGGGGGTAACACTGAGAGGTATACTGGCTCTCCTCAATCCCATCCATCTATATTACGTCTTTTTCCCTCAACTTGCCAAACACACTCACTTTTATTATCTATCATCTACTTGCATCATATACCCAAAATATGTATCTGTTTATTTATTCCTTTATTTTTATTTATTAATCAAATTTCTAAGGCCACCCATTTATCCATTGAAACTCTGGGCAACAATCAAAAAATAGAAAATATCAACAATTATAAAAAACTCCAAGTTGAGGCCCCTCATTAAAGCTGTCAGAAGACACCCTTGCCAAACATTCAGGCCAGAGCTTCAGCAACTACAGTTTGGCCCCAGTGCCTGGCCCAAGAGCCAGGTCTTCACAGCTTTTTGAAAGACTGGTAGGACTGGGGCCGTCCATATCTCTTGCTGCTGATCACTCAGAAGAACAGCCAACCATTATTTGGTCCAGGACCAACTGACTGGTGATTCTTGCATGCCATGGTGTTTTTAGTAACCATCTTCAAAGCCATAATCTGAAGGTATCTATCTTCTTTCTCTCATTTTTTCTTAATGTCCAGTTTTCACAGCTGTACCCTATCACTGGAAATATCATTGCTTGAACTATGCTGACATTTGTTGTTATTGACATACCTTAATCCTCCATGATGGTTTCTAAGTTTGTTGTTTCCTTCTAAGATTAATCTCATTTTATACTTCTTGAGTGCACGATCCATCATTATCTGTTCTCAAGCCCCCCAAAAATGAAACCATCTATTGCATTCACGTTTTTGCTGCAAGCTGTAGGTTCACTAAACATAAGATTGGCATTACTTTTATTTTAATTTTTTTTCTTTTATAATTTTTTTTACTGTATTATTGTAAAACATAAGTAGTACGTTATATTATTTGAGTATGGTGGTATTTATACAATATTGACAAGAGATTAACACTCTAATGTTAGAGAATTTAAACCTTTAAAGATAACAAAAAAGAAGTTTATATCAATATTAACTATGATTTCTAAAATGTCAATATTGATAAGCATAAAGTTGTTTAAATTTTGCATCCAAAGCTAAATGTGGCATTAATAAATAACTGCAAAATACATCAAACTATTTGTTACATGATAAAGGTTTCTGTCTTAAGCTTAATACAGTATTTAATACCAAGGGCTCCACTGTACTGTTTTTTATTGCTGTTTGTACTAAAGAAAAAAAGACAAAACAAAATTAACTACAGCAGCAAAAAGAAAAAGTAAAAAAAAAAAAGTTATTTGGTTTCTAACTTCCCCTTTTTGTGCCTCTGCCAATTTTATAAGCATTTAGGCCCCCTCAACATTCATCCAGAGTTTTCATTTTGCGTTTTCCAACTATTTAAGTCTCACTTACTTGTAGCTAATAAAGTGACATTGTCTTATGTTAGGGCTGTGCATCACTTTGGATCTGAAAGCAAAAAGATGCTTTTCCTTGGCACCGCATTTAAGGAATTAAAGAAAGGCATATTTCTGTTGCTGCATGTTCCAAAGCGCCTTTTTGCTTTAGAATCCAAAGCAAAGCACACCTGCATATTTCCAATTATTATTGTTTGGTCACCAATTTTAATTTCAGCTGTTATTTCTTCCATTTCTGCTGTTTGTGTGATATATTTGTTGTACAGTACAAGGTAAACAGATATGAGGACAATATGCTTCCTTGTCTCACTTCTCCTATTTTAAACATTCTTATAATAGCTTCTCATTCATTGTAAAGATTACTGAACTGAATAATCAAGCATTCTGATTCACTCATTAATATATTCCACATTCTGGCATGATAATCTCCATTATCCTTCTTATGCTAGCTATCTGGTCTTGTTTCCTCTGCTGTCTTTGTAGGGATGTGCAAAATACTTCATTTTGAATTTTTTCATGCTTGAAACTTTACAGTACTCCCTGTCTTGAGCACAAAATGGAGTGTTCAAGCATTTTGGAAATATTTCAAATCCAAAACAGTAATTTTGCCCTTGAAGCTGGATGTTTCATGAAATTTCATGCTTGAAATGCTTAAAAATGAAATGTTTTGCACTCCCCTATTTTTTAAAAAAACATCCCTGTTCATTTGGCATTTCTCTTTACATGTATGGCCCTATTTTTTGTATAAGTTAAGTAAATATTTGCTTGTGGGAGTTTGGTAATTTCTGCAGACTTTTATATGTCCCTGTTTGCAGTACAGTACTGTATAGGTAGAAACACTTTGTTTTCAAATGTCTAAGCCTCATGTGGAGCTGTTAGCGCTAACTACCTCTTTTCCTGCAGCTTTAAACGGTTCAGTGGGCATTTCATCTGCATTTGATGTATTCCTGCTTGAAGCTGTTCTGTTGCATCACTTTCTTGTTGAGCTAGTTCCTGGATATATTCTCTGTCCCTTCAAATGTCTTTGCCAATCTACAGTCCCTTTTGTAAAGGATTCCAGTGTAGTCTTTTCATCTTCCTTGAATCTCATTGGCCTATTCAGATATTTTCTGTAATTTCTGTTAAGTATTTCTACTTTAGCTGAAAAATTTCCCTTGATTTCTCAGCTCTTTTTGTTGCTAATTTTCTTTTTCTTGATATTTTCCTCTCTTTGTTGACATGCTTAGCTTTCCTTGTCGTTTTTGGCTTGATATTGAAAGTCTGGGTCCAGTCATCATACATCCTTATTTCCCTTCTTTGACCTTTCTCTGGCTATCATGACAGCTAGTTCTGAAAGTCGCTTGGATCTTTTGCTGGGTAAATGTTGAGGTTTTTGGTTTGCTTGCTTGCTTGTCTTTGCTTTGGTTTCCATAGGGTCACTTCTTACCATACCTTGTCAGGTTTAAATTTGCATAATTTAAGTGTACTAAATCTGTACCATGCACTGACCTTGTCTCTTGACCGTATAGCCTCCAGGTCATATTTTGCTGAAATGCCTATTTTCTTTGATTTTCTAAGTTTAACCCATTTGGATAGCAGTAATTCTTGGTCTGTTCCACAACCTGCAGCTGGAAGTGTCTGACGGACCAGATTGCGCTTTTTCATCTGAAGGGCAGCTAAAAGAAAATGGTAGTGATGGCAGAGAAACATCTGAAGAGTTGTTAATAGAACAAGTAGCCTGCCTGGATTCAGCTACTAAGGCAAAATATGGATTTCTGAACGAAATGCTGCTGCTCATTCCATCACAGTGTCATCTGGATTAGAGCATTAAGATGTGGTAAACTAAGTTACTGCTTTGAGTCTGCAGCGTCCAATATACACAGTTCAATATGAAGTGATAGTTTCTCTCCAGAAGTATAGCCTAGACGATTTGTAGTTCAAGAAGTGACTTAAAGGGCCCATTCTGTACTTTTGGTCCTAAAGAAAGCAAAGCTGTAGGGTAATTGCACCAGAGGTTGTCAAAATCTTGGAGGAAACATCATGTTTTAGTTACCATTAGAGTTGTGGCCATGAGGGTCTTTAGGTGTTTTACGTCATCTGAACATAAAGCAGATGTAGAACTCTGAAAAATGACTGTTTTCTCAAACTCTTTTCTTCTTGCACAATCACAGAATGACCAATGCCTGCCATCGTAAATGTGTTCCCCCTCACTACAAGGAAGCTGAACTGTCAAAGGGGGAATCTGTGTGCCTGGATCGTTGTGTCTCCAAGTACTTGGACATTCATGAGCGCATGGGCAAGAAACTGACAGAACTTTCAATGCAGGATGAAGAGCTGATGAAGCGGATGCAGCAAGGGACTGGGCCTGCCTAAACCCTTGCTTCTGATTCTCCCAGCCTATCCCTACAGCTAGAGTCTGGACTGGCGTTAATTCTTGCTTTTGCCAATAAAACATCCATGCTGTGTTAGCTCTACTGGCTGCTGAAGGGGCTGAAGCTTTGCCTTCCTTTCTTAGGCTTGATAAATGATGATGCCTTGTGAAGAAAAACAGTCTCATCTCTGGGAACCCTTTGTTAGCTTATTCTTTCTCTTATATGAAAATTGGAGGCCAACCCTTTGGGTTTGCTCAGTGGGCTGTTTTAACAGTTAATATCCAGCTCCACAGATGTTCTTGGGTTGTTTCCATTCTCTTGGTACACTAACAGAAAAGAAAAAGAAGCCGTTTATACTTTTTCACATATCAATTATCATTCAATTAAAACACTGTTCTTTATTAGATGTGTGCCATATTTCAAATTCAAGGCTAGGCAGGATACTTGAGTAGCACCTGCTTTTACTTCCTTAAAGCAGCTGCTATGTCTTTTCCTGAAATCTGTTTACTATACACCAGACAGATTTGCAGACAGATGCTGTGTGCATCTCCCCAGGTGTTCCCCATTTTGCTTTTGACATCAAAGAACTGCATGCTCTTCTGTTTAGAACAGTGTTTCCCAACCTGGGCAACTTTGAGATGAATGGACTTCAACTCCCAGAATTCCCTGGCCAATATGGTCATTGCTAGGAATTCTGGAAGTTGAAGTCCACACTTGTGAAAATGCTGGTTTAGAATCATAAGAGCTGAAAGGTATTGAGGGCATTTCTAATATGTTCCCTCTCCTACTGCTTGTGGAACCATTAACTCACTTCCGTGGGGAATGGAAATGGTGCACAACACAACAAATATCTCTTAGCTAACCTAGGTAGTCAGCCAAGCTAAAGGGGGGGGGGAAATCAATCCAAGTTAGCAGCCAGTGTTAGGAATGGGGAGGGATAAGAGTCTTCCCTTGCTCCAAATTTCAAACATGAGATGCTTCAGAGGCAGAGTTTTCCACAAAGGAAAAGGAATTGGAGAGCAGTACTCATGCTGGCCCCTAGGATATGCCTGATAACATTAATTTTTAATGTTTAAATAATTGATATGAACTGAGTACTTCCGGTGATTGGGCTCATGGATGAACTGGCTGCAGTTTCAATAGAAAATCAGTAGGGGGAACTAAAGCCTGCAACTTTGAAGGCCACAGGGCTGCTTGCTTGGTTGGTTTGCCGAAGTTCAGGAAGTAGGGGACCCCAGTATGTGGAACTCTTAATGGACACACGCAGAGACATAGTATCTTGGAGAATTCTAGAATGCTACGATATTTGATAAGTGACTTCTGATTCAACCACTTCTTCAAAGAAAGATTGCTCAAGTTATTAGCTGTTGGCTTCTTTGCCAAAATAGAGCTGCTGTTCTTTGATGTACTTAATGAACCAGCAATTTTTCATTATATCCTGGTATCTTTTATTGGAGTCTGCAAGCCATTTCTCTGTAATTTGAACTGGAGATCCTATTTCTCTTCATGTTGTCCTAATTCTGCTGGAAATAAGGTGTGGCACATTGTTGCTTTTCAAATTGCTTTTTGCCTCAAATGCACTTGTAATTCAATAGCTGTTGAAAAATGCCTCTGCGTTTCTGCATTTCTCTGGTGCTGAAGTCTCCAGTGTGACATTTGTGAACATACAGGTACTTTCAGAAGCCTGCCATGGTGCTCACTGTGCGATCTGCCGCCCTCTGATAGATTGATTGATATTTTTAAAAATGGTCTCCCAGGACTGCATTATCCTCTGCCTCCTTGGTGCGCCTTTCTGGGTCTTTGATGCACACACCCACTTCCATTTGGATTTCACAGCATATTTGTGGGTTGCAGAGGCTAAATTATGCCTGTTGTGGCTTGTAGGAGGAAAAATGTGAAGGGGGAGGGAAAAACAGATGGAGGCCATGGGAGGAAGGTGAAAAAGAGTAGGTTGGTCCAGGATGGTGTGTGTCTGAGAAGGAGGGAGGGAGGGAAGGAGAAAAAGAAAGAAACCCCATGAAGAAAAAAAGGAAATCAACGCAATTAAACAGAACATTCAGTGGAAGAGGTCTGGGGTGAAGAGACCATGGGGAAGCAGAAGGAAAAAAAGACGGTAGTGAAGTGGAGGTTTGCATCTGTGCATACATAGGCACATGCACATATCATAAGTGTGGAGCAAAACTTGGCGATTGGTACTTTTAAAGGGTTGAGTTGAGCTGGTTAGCATGGATAGGGAGTGGGAGAAATGAGTTGGCTGGTGGAGGCAGAAAGACCATTTGCCTTTGTCTTGTGCTCTGCAAAATGGAGGTTCTAGGGAAGCAGAAAGCCATGGCTTCAGAGGCTTGTCTTTGTAACGGTATTCAGCTATCCCTCTGCTTGGCACTTAATTTCACGGGCAAGTTATTGTTAGTTTCACCGTTGCCATTCTGTGTCAGCACCCACAGTATTTCTTTTCTTTTAAGAAAACACCGAGTAGGCTTCTGAGCCCAACGTGTTAGACACCCAGCTAAACACATTGCTACATATTATGGCCAGCAGGGGTCATTGGTCAACATGAGCTTTTGAGCACCCCTGTATCAAACAAACAACTTTTAAGGTATGGCTAATTTTTTAATGAGTATGCTTCATAATTGGGCCCTTTAGATTTCTTTTAGACTCATTCTACCTTTTCTAATTAAATAGCAGTACTTAGCCGAAGGGTGATTTATTCAATTAGAGCTGCTTAAAGCAATTAGAAGTTATTTAAAACCACATGTTGGAAGTTATTTGGCAACCCTTGCTTGTGGTTTTATTTCTGCCCAGGGCAGGATACTATGCTGCAGTTGCTTTCATGGATCCCTGAATGCACCCTGTGGGGGCTGGAGAGAGCAACTGGAGTTTAAGACACAGCGGCAAGAGCAGCTGCAAAACAAGACATTCACAGGATTTCATGCTTGTGCAAAAGTGGGAGGGGGAAAGAGAAACAGGACCGATACGTGTTTCAAATAAGACCTGGAATTGGATTCACATCAATTCGCTTCTACTCTCCTTCAATTTCATTTCTTTGAGAGGAGGGTACTACTGTAATTATTAAAACTACTAGGAGTCAAAAACATAGGCTGATCCACTATACTTCATCTAGATGTATCATCTAGACCCATTTTTAAGTTTTATTTTCTCAAAGTATCTATCATTCTTTCATAAACATATTTTGTAGGTATTTTACAAATTAAAAATATAGAGTAAATGCATATTGTTCTATTTTCTGCCCAGGTCATGCAGGTCCTGACTTCATGCTGACCCTGTACAAACTGGTCATATGGCATAAAACAAACTAAATTCCCATCTCCACCTCTAAGGACCTTTCCCTGCTGCTGATCCAAAGTGCTCTCAACCCATGAATTAGCAGAAGATTCCGACATGATATTTGCTATCCTCATTGCCAGTTCCTATCCTTGCTTCTATTGCCTCTGTTTTCAAGGCCCAGCAATCACCTGACATCCCTCACTAATGGGTGACAAAGCCAAACCAATTGTATCTTACAGCTGTCACTGGGCAATGTTCGCTTGAGGGGGGAAACAGTACTTTAGTACCGCTCAGGAAAACTTAAGACTGTCATCTTGTGGGCTGGGGACCAGATGAAGGCAACATCAAGAGGACACAGCAGAAAAAAGATGCCAGGGCATGCGTGTGCTATTGTTAGATATGAGAGGGGGAAAGTCCTGCGTTTCAGGGTAATATCAACAGAGGCAAGATGTCTTTCCTATGGCTTTGTTTCAGATTATAGATCTCCTTTTGGGGAAGGTGTGCAAGAACCTAATGTGTTTCTACAACAGGCTGGGGTGTTGCCAGATGACTTTTTCTTTCCAGTCTCCCGTATCTGTGATTGCTTTGCACAGTCCCCTCTGGGTTTTGCCTCCTGCTTGCTGGCTTCCTGATTTACGTTCTTTTTTCCTCCAAGTCCCACTCCTCCTCTTGGTGGCCTGTTAAGCTTAAGGGTATAAGCCTCCCACGTTCACGGGGAGGGGGGTGGCTCAGTCTATCCCCTTCTGTTGCTTCCAAAGTTTAAATCTGCATTAGTGTTGATTCCCAATCCCTGTCAGCATTAGTATGCTATCCTTGTGGTTGCCATTGTCATGTTAGCTGTGCAAGCCTGCATCCCCCTTATCAGGGGTTCTGTAGCTAACAGAGGGAGGCTGGTTTCCTCCGCCACAGTTTCTAACAGGAAAGCAAATCCATGTTTCTTCTGCAAAGGATAAAGCTGTCGTTATGGTTCAAGCAGTTTGTCTGCTGTTACGGATCCTTCAAGTTTAGAGCCACATCCCCCAGGCTTTTCCACCTTTTGGGGCATCTCCATTCTATGTCCATCCATGGCTAGAGCCATCAGAATGCTTCTTCTGTATTCAGGGGCATGCAGTTCCTGGTTCAGATTATCTCACTCATTAACCATCTCTAAGTCTCCAACCCTGTCTTTTAAATAATCAAATAGCTGAGTTGATGCCCCTATTCAATTCAGTGAGACAGGATTATTTCATGATTACTTGTGAATTCTCAGCAACCAGGCCTTCATTATTTAGCACAGTATTTTCTCCTATGGATTACAGGCATTCCTCATGCTGCTCGCCTAGGAATTTCAAGAACAAGAGTAGGTGGAGAGAATTTCAGGCAGGATCTTAATATACTCAATATACTGAAATTACCTGCAATTGGCTATATTTTTGCACTGTGCTAAAGGCTCTGAATATGTTGCTTCTGACACGATCCCACATACATTGTCATAAATAAGGAGAAATGTAAATTAGAAGGGGCTGCCTGCAAGGTGGATATGTGTCAGATTAGAAAAACGTTTTCAGAGTGTAGCGAATTGAATCATTGATAAACTAGGGACATTGGAAGGAGTGTTTCCAAAAAAATTAATTGTGTATCATCTTATGCTATTCATAAATCTCATAAGCGACATGGATGAAGGTGGGCCAAATACATTAATCTAACTCAGGGTTTCCCAAGCTGTAAGGTGTGCCTCCCTTGGGAAGGTGCAAACAGAGTCCAGGGGAAGTGTGAAGATTTTTATTTTTGATGTCTTTATTAAAAATAAAGTTTCATTGTATTGTTTTCATTGTTCATTTGTGTTCATCTTGGTGTTTGGATTTTAGGAGAGGTGTGTACATTAAGATTATGCTTAAGGGAGGTGGGATGGCAAAAGTTTAGGAACCCCTGATCTAACTGGTTAAAATAAAAAAAAATCAAATTACATAAAGGCAAAATTAAAACAGAATGTCACTGTTATAACTGCAGGGCTGGACTGACCAACTCAAAATGACACTCGGTGAAAGGCAAGATGGGGAAGTGTTTGTTTATTAGATTTATATTTTGCTTTTCCTTCAAGAGCTCAGGGCAGTAGACAAAGTACTAGTTTCTCCTATTTTTCCTAATCCTGTGAAGGTAGGATGGGCTGAGAGAGAGTGCCTGGTCCAAAGTCACCCCTCTAGGTGGGTTTAATGTCAATTTTCATCTGCCCCATTCAGTCTGATCAGAGATGATGGATACTGGAGTTTAGCAGCAATTTATGGGCCACAGGCTCCCAAGTTACTAGTCTTAAATGACAGAAAGAAAAAGCAAATAAATGCCTAGGTAAGACATACCATTTGTTAACTCTTAATAAATTGAAGCACAAACTAGCCAGACACATTTCAGCTTGGCATGCTGTCTGAATCTAGCGTGTAGTGTTCATTTATTGTTCAGTGTGTTGTGCGTAATCTCAGAAAAGTGTGTAGATGGAGTAAATTGTAGTTAAGCTAATGATGACTAAATTTGTTGTGCAAACCTAGCTGTTCAGAAACAGCTGGGTAATACATACACTGCTTTTGCTAGCCATATTCTATATTGTCTTTCCAGTTGTACCAGCATTATCTCTGATCAAAAATGTTTTTATAATGCATTTGAATATTAATGCTATGTATAAGCCCCCATCCCCTTATCTCAGCTGATTTTAAGGCACAGTACAATAAAAACAACCACTAAAACACTCAAGCAATAAAACAAATAGCAGCCTACTTAAAAACAGCACAAATGAGACCCTCAAACTTGGATGAAAAACCACATATAAAACAAAAGCAATTTGGCTTTGGGGGTGGTGGTAGCCTTTCGGGCGCCACAGCAGAGAGGCTGTATTCTGCATTTCTACATTATACACTACCCCTAACAGAGGAAGTGGCTCCTTGGCAGATCTTAATACTCAGGCAAGTGAAGACATGGGGAAAGGCATTCCTTCAAACAAAAGAGTCCCAAAACATTTAGGGATCTGAATAGTATTAGCAACGAACTCTGACCAGAAGCATAATGGAACCCAGGCAATTCCTTTAAAACCAGTGATGATTCTGGTACCAAGCTACTGCTATATTTTGAATTAGCTACAATTTGAATGTTTTCAAAGATAACCCCATGTGACGTGCATGACAGTACTCTAAATGAAAATATATGAATTCCTGTACTGTGATTAGGTCACAACTCTACAACCTAGCACAGTCTTGTCAGAATTTAATTTTAGCTTATGGACTCCCCATCCAATTCTTATAGCCTTCAACAGTGATCCAACAGCTGCACCTGATTCTGGTGACATGGAGAAATAGATTTTCCAATACCACTCTGATGATCTCA